ATACATGTCAGGAACACCTGTCTTAAACCCCCTCATCCATCACTCATTCAGTGTTGCCTGTTGGATATGGAGGAAATCTACACCACAAAGTGGAATATTGTAAAGGCACTCTTCAGTACACATAAAATAGAGCACTGTAAATAATATGGATTAGTTGCTGCTATCTTCTTAACATGATTTTGAATTTATAAATAGTAGTAGTGTCAGGGGCCTTTTATATATTATATTTGAGTATAATACATTTACCTTATAATTAACCATCACTCCCGTCTAGGAAGTACTATGTATTTGTGTATGTAATTGAGATCGTATCAGCGCCTTTCATTCTACTCAACGCGTTTCATTCTACTCTAAACAAGCTTGACATATATGAGAATGAAACGCGTTGAGTAGAATGAAAGGCGCTGATACGATCCTACTGCGATCCTCTTCCGATACACCATTCTGTACAACCTTTTTTAAACTCTCTTCTGCAAGCACAGGTGCATTTTTAGTCACAGCTTGACTGTATGAGTTCATCTCAGCTTGGACAGTGTCTTGACCGGCGGTCTTGACGTTGGAGTGCACGGATTCCAACTGCTTCGATTTAGTTTCCAGAAGTTCAGCCTGCAGCTTGATAACAGTACTTTGCGATCGGATCAGATCGCTCTTCAACTCCTCCATATCTTTCTTGTTATCCAGAAACGTACTTACATGATTATCGGTAGTCTGATACGCAGAATACAAATTACAAATGTTTTACTGAAACTGACTTCACTGGCTTTTTGAACGTTTCAACTGAAAACTCAGATTCATTGTCACGGTTCGTAGCTTCCGCGAGTTCAGTGATCCAACCGGCAGTTGTAATGTAGCGATAAAATAGAAGTAAGAGCTAGATTATCAACACGTAACAAAAACTGTAAAACTGTATCATAATATTATTATGCTTTTAACATCATCTGTTGTGATATACATGACAAAGGGTTGGAAATGTACAGTAACCTCACTATATTGCAATTACACAATATTATGTGAACGACCCCTAACCCCTTATCTAAGGCTCTATAAGTATTGAATAATGATAACTGCAGGGTTTCAAAATGTACAAGGCATCATATCAAAGACTGCATATAATGCCCGAAAGAAGGACAAATCCAATTTGGCTCTCTGGATGTATTGAAAGCTCTCAACCTTCCAGAAAAGGACTGTTCAAAGGAACACTTAAATCCCTCCGACAGGTAATTATTATAAATAATAATTTAGTTTACACTTCACTATGTCAAATCACCTACTATAATTTAGTAGGTGATTATAGTAGGTGATTTGACATAGTGAAAAGAAAATTGTTGTGTTAACCAAGTTTAATGTGACTCAATTTTGGTGGAACTTTAGAATTTGGACATTATATCTATCATGTTCATCTTAAATCTCATATTATATACTCAATATTCAATTAAACAGACAAAGATAACCTCTCTAGGCCCTCTGGTGGTGACGTATAAGTGCTTTCTCAGTATAGTACTTTCTCTCGCTTTTGGACAAATCCAGTGAGTTAACTTTTTATCAGTGGTCGACCAGGGGCAGGATTCTGACCGGGGCCGGCCGCCGGGGAGCCCCAATATAGCCGGGGCTGGGGCTGACGGGGGGCATACAACGGTCATTAATGTCAGTATTATAGAATTTTGCTGAAATATACATATACATTAATGCACATTAATGCCCATTTATGCCCATTTATGCCCATTAATGCACATAAATGACCACGAACTACTACAAAATTTGTTACCTATGTTAGCTGGGGGGCGGGGGATCATGTTTTTTGTCCGTTTGGTACCCTATATTTTCAAAACGGACAAAAAATAGAGCGGACAAAAACGGACAAAAAATAACAAAAATAGAAATTACATTAAGATGCTTCCTCCTCCTCTTCCTCCTCCTCCTCCTCTTCCTCCTCCTCCTCCTCTTCTTCCTCCTCCTCTTCTTCCACCTCCTCCTCAGTCGTTCTCCTCCTCCTCCTGGGTCCTCCTCCTGGGTCCTCCTCCTGGGTCCTCCACCTGGGTCCTCCTCCTGGGTCATCCTCCTCCTCTTCCTCCTCAATCATCAGTCCTCCTCATCAGTCCTCCTCCTCATCCTTCTCGTCAGTCCTCCTCCTCCTCAGTCCTCCCCAAGTCCCCTCCTCCTCAGTCCTCCCTCAGTCCCCCTCCTCCTCAGTTCTCCTCAGTCCTCCTCATTCTCAGTCCTCCTCCGGAGTCCTCTTCCTGAGTCCTCCTCCTGAGTCCTCCTCCTGAGTCCTCCTCCTCCTGAGTCCTCCTCCTCCTGAGTCCTCCTCCTCCTAGGTCCTCCTCCTTCTCCTCCTCCTCCTCCTCCTCCTAAGTCCTCCTCCTCATCCTTCTCCTGAGTCATCCTCCTCCTCTTCCTCCTCAGTCCTCCTACTGGGTCCTCCTCCTCCTAGGTCCTCCTCCTTCTCCTTCTCCTCAGTCCTTCTTCTCCTCCTCCCTCTCAGTCATCCTCCTCAGCCATCCTCCTCAGCACTCCTCAGTCCTCCTCCTTCTCAGTCCTCCTCAGTCCTCTTCCTGAGTCCTCCTCATTGGTCCTCCTCCTCCTAGGTCCTCCTCCTTCTCCTCCTCAGTCCCTCTCCTCCTCCTCCTCAGTCATCCTCCTGAACCATCCTACTCAGCCATCCTCCTGAGTCCTCCTCCTTCTCAGTCCTCCTCCTGAGTCCTCCTCCTCCTAAGTCTTCCTCCTCCTCCTCCTCCTCCTCCTCCTAGGTCCTCCTTCTTCTCCTAGGTCCTCCTCCTCCTCCTCCTCCTCCTAGGTCCTCCTTCTTCTCCTCCTCAGTCCTTCTCCTCCTCCTCAATCCTCTTCCTCCTCCTCCTCCTCCTCCCTCTCAGTCATCCTCCTCAGCAATCCTCCTCAATCCTCCTCAGTCCTTCAGTCCTCCTCCTCCTCGTCAGTCCTCATCCTCCTCCTGGGTCCTCCTCCCTCTCAGTCATCCTCCTCAGTCATCCTCCTCAGCCATCCTCCTCAGCCATCCTCCTCAGTACTCCTCAGTCCTCCTTCTCAGTCCTCCTCCTGAGTCCTCTTCCTCCTGAGTCCTCCTCCTGGGTCTTCCTCTTCATCCTCCTCCTCTTCCTCCTCAGTCCTCAGTCCTCCTCCTCAGTCCTCCTCCTCATCCTTCTCGTCAGTCCTTCCTCATGATAGTCCTCCCCCAGTCCCCCTCCTCCTCCTCCTATTCATTCCTCCTCCAGTTGTCCTCCTCAGTTCTCCTTAGTCCTCCTCCTTCTCATTCCTCCTAAGTTCTCCTCCTGAGTCCTCCTCCTCCTCTACCTCATGAGTCCTCCTCCTGGGTCCTCCTCCTCCTAGGTCCTCCTACTTCTCCTTCTCCTCCTCCTCCTCGTACTCCTCAGTCTTCCTCAGTCATCCTCCTCAGCCATCCTCCTCAGCCATGCTCCTCAGTACTCCTCAGTCCTCCTCCTAAGTCCTCATCCTCCTCCTCAGTCCTGCTCCTCATCCTTATCCTTAGTCCTCCTCCTCCTCAGTCCTCCCTGGCCCTAGTCCCCCTCCTCCTCCTGTTCACTCCTCCTCCTACTCCTCCTCAGTTCTCCTCAGTCCTCCTCCTTCTCAGTCCTCCATTAAATCAGTTTTGACTGAAATTTGACGGCTGAGTTAGCATTGGCTTAAACTGTCTTTGACCAAAACTTGACGACTGTACAAGTGTAACTCACTGTAACTAATTCATAACGCGATGACAAGTGATCATGAATCCGAGGGTGCGGCGCATAATCATATCCATCTATATCTATGCAAAGTCCCAAATTTGATTTAGCACAAAATTTCCGGTGAAATTATCTGGAACTACCAACAGTTTTAATATGGTTATCGTACTTCCAACCTCAGCTCAATTATTTTTTAAATATTGTTGTTCCTATTTACGTCGTCTCATACACGCACAGTGCACACCAACAATCAAGCTCATGTGAGCGAGAATGTTGTAAAATAAGTATTACACGAAATTTTGAAAGGATTGCAAAAAAACCTGGTCATTAATGTCAGTATTATAGAATTTTGCTGAAATATACATATACATTAATGCACATTAATGCCCATTTATGCCCAATTATGCACATTAATGACCGTTGTATCCCCCCGGGCTGACCACTGAGAATTGGCCGGGGTTAAATTTATTGGCCGGGGCCGGTGTTTACCCCCGGCGAATTGCTAATTTTTGGCCGGGGCCGGGAAGGGCTGGGGGTTGTGATTTTGGCCGGGGCACCGGGCGACCACTGCTTTTTATGTCACGATTTTTAAAACTTTATTCATAAGTTTATGAAACATCAAAACTTTGCATGCTCTGCATTATGTAAAGTCAGTCATGCACTAGAGCACAGTTCACATATAACCTAATCCAGCCTAGGGGAGGGGGTTTGAAGTCGCTTGTGCTAGAGTGATTTATACTCAATAGCTATGTGAAAAGTGGCTCAAGGAGGGGAGACCGACATAAACAATTTTGAATTGGTAGAAGTTAAGTTTAGGCTTTAATAAAATACTAGTAGTAGTAAATCTTTCAAAGTACGAAATATCTCTTTAAAAGAGCATCCTAGGCACCTTATAGATATCAAAACGCATAAAAAAGAAAACAAAGACATCAACCATCTTCTAACTTCTTCCACTCCTCCCTATCTAAAGCTAAAAATCTAAGGTCTTCGAAATCAGTCAAATTCTTAAGTCTAATATCAAGATTTCTACTAGTCAAGTCTTTTCTAATAACATCTAATAAGTTTAAACATGGTCTACCCCGTCTCCCTTCCATAAAAATATCAGAATTTATAGCAAATAACATAGAGGTGTATGCTGGTGAGTCTTCCTGTCCTCTTAAGATATGTCCTAACATTCTCCATCGAAACTTAGAGACTCTCACAGACAAATACTATTGAAAGAATATCATTCTTTTACCACAGACATAAGACTTTGCCGTAAGGTATACAAAAATATGATCATTCATCAATTTTCAGAGTGCTGTATCTGTACCCGAATAGAAATAAAGGATTTTAATGAAACAGTTTTCTTCCGCTCTGAAAGTGAACGAATGACAAAACAGTCTAGAGAATTCCTCGCCCTGCTGCAGAAGATCAATCCTGGGTTGTACTCACCAAAGCAAACCTCTTTTTTGTGTATTCAGTGTCTTAACTATGTAAAAGACAACTATAACAGGGTGAGTTGTTTCCTCCTGTTTTACTAACATTTAAAAACATTATTATTCAAAGTTAAATAGACAGCGAGTAGTAATTTTTAATCCATTTCTATCGGATTTGCAAACTTTTAAAATGATATAACACTTGTAGGTTGTACGATCTCAAACTTATGTGATATGATACTGTTGATATAAATGTGGGAAGTAATAAAGTATTTGCAGGTGTACAGTGCTGTTTCTGAAATTGACGAATCTTCTTGTGATGAAGATTGAAGAAGCTATTGCCATCCAAGTGGAAAAAGTCCCGCCTTTGTCACCCTCGGCCTCCTCGAATAGAACTAAGAAAATGTGGAGACTTTCTTCATTTAGTTCCCAATCAAGTGGACCAGATGTTGATTTGTTTGAAATGGACTGAGACTTGTGTTTCATATGCCAGGTTGAACAGGTTTGTGTGAAACTTTTGCTCGCAAATATAATTATTATACATATTATCTCGATTTAATTTTAAGAGTATGAGAGGATATTCTTCTTTAACAATACGAATTTCCCTAGACGTTAGAAACGAAAAAGGATAGTCTGATTCAAGGAAAAGATAAAAGTTTCTTCGTCGATTTCGCAACATACTATCTGTGGACATCTACAGAAATCGTCAGGATCTGTGCAACATCGATGTTAATCCTGATTCGCACATGAACAAGTGCCCTGTTCTTAACCCTGAGAGTCTCGGAAAATATCTCTATAGCAAGCTAGGTAGATATCACAAAACGTGTCGTTTGAGGTACAGCAACTCGAGGGTGAAACAATTGAAGGGTAAATTATCTGAAGCTGTAAGTTTAAAACCTGTCTCTAAAAACCTGTTCTAAAATGGAAAGACACGTGTCCACGCACGACAACACCAATGCTGCATTAATGAGTGCAGGTATTGACGCTGTACGGACCTTTTAACTGGAGCAGGAGAATGTTTTACCAGAACTGTACCTCGTGTCTGACTTGAAGCTTAAGTACAATGACTATGTGACGTCTAATTTATCTGAGAACGCTGCAAACTCCAGCAATGTTTAATCTGATCACATCAGTTTTCAGAAAGACAATGTCGGTAAGACGAGTTTATATCTAATCTTGCCACAACAATAGATTCGGATAGAGATGATAACACTTTAACAAAGACAGCACTCATAACGGAGATTAGAAAAGAAATCTTTCAATGTAGAAATCTAGGTAAACTATAGGTAAAAATATAATATTAATCATAAGCTAAAATGTACTAATCTTTGTATTCTAAATGGGGAAAAAGAAGAAACATTGTCAGTCAGTCGAGAAAATTGTCAGTCAGGCTATATGGCAGCTTTGTAGATGTTGTGACTATGCTAGTAGTATTCTATCAGCAATCGTTCCGTCAGACGATTTATCTTCAAAAACATGTTCGATTTACCGATCGGTGGCATCTGTAGAAATATAGTGTTTATGTGGATTAATCTGTTAAAGCAGGGCTATTGTATCATTTTAACATTAACTTTGCATAGTGATGATACGTTTATTGTGTCTCGTGATTATCTATTTTCTACAGTGTTACGGTACCACGAGGTTTCTGGCGCAGTGACGCGCTTTTGAGCAAATATCGTGCTAGATACGTCACGCGCCGCAACCGAATCAGATTTAAGTGCACTTTTTTCATTGTAAACACTACATACGACGCGCAACACGTTCTACGTGGTCGAAATTTTCGAGGTCTCTAACACCGGAATGGAGCAATATTTAGACGATCTGACACTTTCTGGGGCTTAAGCAACCTAAGAGAAATTAGGGGAACAACTCAGAAAAAATTTTTAGTCGATATTCCGGTGTCTGTAGATGTCCGAAGTTTAGGCAGTAAAGTGCTCACAACACAGCTTCTGAAGGCTCTAGAAGGTTCCCGATACCGTCAGAGTGTTCAGTACACTCCATTCTATCATATAAGAACCCTAAAAGAAGTCCCAGGGCTCGAGCAAAAAAGCGTGATATTTGCCCGTAACAGCCTCTACTATAAGCAATGCATTCCAGTCTGTGTGCCGGAGTTCATGGTTTAGCCTCTCCCAGTTCACGTTTTTATAGTTATAGCACATACGCTTAACCGGCTTCTTCCTATTTACCTTAATGTTGATCTTAAAGTTGATTGGAAAATGATCAGACTTACAGACGCTATCTCGCTCACCTACCATTAGGTCACTGATATTAGACTCAGAGTTTGTGAGCAAAAGGTCCAGTGTTTTGCCTTTGCAATGTGTGGGTGTAAGTACACATTGCCGAAGGCCAAGGTCTACAAAAGATTCGACAAAAATCTGCTCAATAGGACAGGAGCCGGCCAAGGTAGACCAGGAGACTCCAGTCAGGTTGAAATCTCCCAGGATAAATACTTTGCTTAGCCCTCTTCTCCGAAGAAGAGTTTTCAGAGATCCAAGAATTTTTTCATGATTTGCAAAGCACAGTGTACCAACACGATAACATGTACAGATAACAAATTTAATGCCCGTTGATGTTGTAAACTCCACAGCAAGAATCTCTGCCCCCTCTTTAAGTCGGATTTCTTTCGAAGCTTTTTGATACGGAAATGGAATCAAGTCTCTAGTGGGCGTTCTGGGAGTGCTAGGGCCACCAAACTTTGTAGGAACACTATAAGGGTCAATACCAAACGATTCCGACCTGTTTTGGGGCAATCCGATGAGTTTTAGAAAAAATTTCATTTTTGTTCATTCCGTTCATTCCATGACTCAGGGAGCCTCTGGCGATAATTTTGACGTCAAAATAGTTAGTAAACACATCCCCCTACACCGTGAAACCATTTCCAGCACTCTGAAATTACTTTAACAGACTAAAATGACCGTATTAAAATGCCTCAAAAACCGTATCATCTGGTTCCACAATCTCGGATTCATCTTCTGTATTGTAACGCGCGAATTAATAATTTGTAGACAAACTAGCGCGCCGGGAACCATGCGGAATACAGATTGTCTCTTTACGTAATTCAAACTCTGATGACAAAATAAATTGATTGTGACTGTAATAATGGATTAAAAATTACGGCATACAGCAAATCTTGTGTAAAAAAATGTGATAAACAATATGCTGTAAAAAAAATTCGTCAAAAACTTTAAGAACACGATGCCCCGCCCCGTTGTCTAAAGTGACAATTTTGGGACTTTGACGGGCTATAACTTTCGCTAGGAGCAGCCATTTCCCCAAAACTTGGTACCATATGACTCTACTCAATGAGACCTTTCCAATGATGTATAATATGTTGGGTTTTGAGACATAAAATGTTCACCCGCAAGTTGATGCTCTTAGTACATACACTACTTGAGCATGGTTTTTGTTGTTAACCCAGGAAAAGTTACCGGCTGGTGGTGGTACTAGAATTGGTTTAATTTAAACAGACGGCTTGACCTCGCGCGCGACAACAAGCATGATTTGCACGCGTGTCGCATTCCAATGTTCAGGCAGCTACCACGTGACACAATTCAGCCAACCAGAGTACAGGAATCCGCAAAGTTAAAGTTGCAAACTTTTAATCGGCCCGAAAGGGGACTTTTCTGGAGATTTTGAGATAACTCAACAATTACGTTGTCTTGAATTTTCCTCCTGGAGAGGTAACGTTACTTTTAAAAGAGGAACATGTTACAAAAAACCGAAAGTCTCCAACTCTTTTACTTTCAAAGTTAAGCCCCATCCGGTCAGGGTTCCTGGGCTGAAGATATATCCGAATAGTACGACAAAAATGGTCGAATTTGGACGAATTTGGTCAAATTACGCGACTTTTACAGCTACTTTAGCTCCAAAAGCCGCGCACCATCAAATATGGCACCTAGGCGAATCTCACTGATTTTTCCAAAAAGTTATGATATGACAAATTTGGTATTGTGAAAATTCTCACAGTCTCTAGAAAACAGTGGTACAAAAATTTTTTAAATCCGAGCAAGTTTGTTTTTATCGTGCACCCCCTAGTTTAACGGGTGATACTCGTAAAATATTTGTTCCATGTATATTAGGACCGTCGACGAGTCCAACTCGGCGCGCATCCTGGTTGTCATACGTTGTATGACCCGCCGCGCACGAAGTCGAAGACGATATAGTGAAGCGACTGTGGGGGTCACCACGTAATACAACGTCCTGGTAGGTTGTAAATTTTTAGTATTTACGATCGACATCCACAATTATTAATTTCCAACTTTCTGCACAATGTACTGGTTTTTTTTGGGGAAAAACGAAAAGACAAAAAAGCGATATATTTAAATAAAATCAACGAGTTAATGTTAAGAACAAAGAAGGTAAAATTAATTCACTGGTTTCCTAAGTCAGCTTTAAAGTCGGAAAATCAAAGTATGTAGGCCGGTCGATACCAAACCGATTAAATTTATTGAGCGATGATAGCTAAATAGTTGCATCGCGGTTCCTGGGATGCAGAGTCCTCCTGATTCCTCAGTCTTTGAGTGTGGTTGTTGTTCCTGTTCAGTTCTGTTCATGTTTCCTCGTGTTCTCAAATTATTTGTTATTATAGTTCTTACAGTTAAAATTCTTGGCTGCCATGTCTTGCTGTCTTGGACTTCAAGATGGCAAATCTGAATGACAAATTGCTATACCACCTTCCAGATTAATAATTATTGTCCATTTACCACCAGCCCCTCATTACTTCTATCACCCGAAATCACTAACTTTTATTATTCTGTTGCTGTTCCACTTCGTTCGAACTCGGAATTAAATTAAATTTAAATTGGATTGTAAAATGACGACATTAATATCAAGACTCCTAGTCAGAATTACATTCCACCGCGTCCCAATTATCGCAGACAATTAAAGCATAGGTAAATTAAAACTTAACTTGAACCGTAAATCTTCTCAAAGTCTGATGAGTCATGTACCTTGAACTTAAGAAAGGTGCGATCGATTACAACGACTGGCAGTTTAATAAGAATTACAATTATATTCATTACAGTTTAGGCTGTGGCTCATGGGACAACTAAACTGAGGCAGGTGTTTTAATAATCTCATTATCTCCTCAGTCCTCGGGCGGCAGTCTGAGAATTTACAAATTATTTTGCGGCTCTGCTTCATTTTGGCGTCTTGAATTGGGTTGTAAAATGGAAGACATAATTTTTTCTGATCTCTCTTACTACATAAGATCGAGTACTCTAGGAACCGCCACAGTAGTTGGAATACTTTCTAATGCAGCATCTTTATCTTTATTTGTCAGGTTAGTGTCCAAAAACCTCAGCACTAGGTAACGATCAAGTAACTTGTGACTAAGTTTGTTGACAAATATATTACTATAAATTGTTCATATCAACAGTTCATGCACAATGCACCTTCACCATAATGACCTCTCAAAACAGGCACCAAAGAAGCAGTCTTGGAGACGCACAGCTGATTGCATTAAACATCACTGATCTGCTGATTTGCTGTTTCTCCTTGGCTAATCTATTCTGCTTCAACGAACATGCCAGGGAGAATAACAGTAACACCGCTTTCACCCGAAACTGGCAGATTTATGGTGGTCTTCCTTTGTTTTGTTTAGCTTTATTGTCATGTTTCATAACAGTTATGTTAAGTGCCACACGGACATTGGCTTTAGCCAAACCACTCTACAGTGCATCAACAGCAAGTGTGTTTATTTGGCTTTTGGCATTTGCATATTTATCATTCTTATCCTATTTGGCACTAAATTATGCACCCTTTTCTTAATCTCGAATGTAAGTTCCTCCCAGCTGATTTTAAAAATAATCGGGATGGTTGAAATATTCACAGTAACCATATTGACGGTAGTCGTTGGCATATTTAGTTTTACTGTAATATCAGTGAGGG